GACATCCTCACTCTTCCTCTTCTATCTTCCTATGAAACTCCCGACTCTTTGCTCGGAGCTTGTTGACCTGCGACTCTGCAATGTCAGCCCGCTCCTCGGCTTCCTCCAGCTCGTGCTGGATCTTGCGGAACTTGGAGAGGTTGACATTGGACAGCTCCTCCTGTGCGGGGAGAGGGAGTTGATGGTGAGGAGTCCATGGCAGGGGTTTCACTCCTCCTGCGCCTTGGCCTTTTGGGGCTGTGGCTCTTCCCTGGGGGAAGGCACATCTCCATCCCCCACCCACCACTGCTTACACGTAAGTCTCACACAGACCTCCTTATCCTCCCCTTTTAGACCAAGCACAACAGGATTTGAACATAATTCTGCTCTGCAATGTGGGAAGGAAACAAACGGGGCAGCTGGAAATCAGATTTTTTTTTTAGCTCTGGAATTAAATGTTCAACTACCTCCGCAGACCCTGAGATGGGGTTAGGAATTTGTAAGAGACGGTGAGTCCATGAGATCTCCTCAGCATCCCTTTCACAAATTGCCTTATCTGAGTCCAGAAGCCCTTGTGTGTACTGGACTGTTTGCTGCAGCAATGAAGCCATGCTCAGACATTCATAAATTCAGGGGCTGCAGGACTTCCCTCAGTTCATCCCTGATTGTAGCATGCCCAGAAAAAGGCAAAGGCTCTTTGCACAATTCTAAATGCAGTGCATAATGTGGCTTGGGATTGTTCTTCCCACACCTTCTCTATCTGCTGAGATTTCCCTGGCTGTATCCAACCTGTGGAATTCCCTATAGTAGATGAACATATGCTGAATCAGAAGGATTTCTTATGCAACATTTTCTGTGTTCCTAGGTACAGAATTATGGAGTTTTGGCAAGTCATTTGCTTCCACATAACTACCAAGCTTCTCCAAATTGCAAGAGTCACAGACATCTGTTGTAAATATAGTTACACGAATTTCAAAATGCTGAAAATATTTTCTTTTCAGAACTTCATAATATATTGCACTATCAGCATTATTAATAAGAACTCCTTCTTACAGACTACTTTGTTGTTCTAATGCAAAAAAAATATTATGTGCACCTGCCCTCCTCATTGGCCTTCTTATTTGCTCATTGATTTCATTCTCAAAGGCTAAGCTAATTTATAAGCATTTCCAAGAACTTGAAGCCCTCCATTATTGACCAGTGGCCCTTTCCAAGTTTCTTATAATCTCCTCAATGACCATGCTACCCACTTGGAAAGTGTTTCTTGCCAAGCACTCGGAGTGATACTTACAGCCTCTTCAGATTGTCTCTTGTAGGATTTCACCTTCATTTGCAGCTTGTCCACCAGATCCTGCAGCCTGAGAATATTCTTCCGGTCTTCCTCAGACTAAAGCAGTTGGCAAACAGGAAAGAGAATGAATTGGTTTCCCCACTATGTGAGTTAGCAATTGCCCTTGGCAATCAAGTGCAAAAATTTTTACTTCCTGCGAGAGGGTGTGTGAGCCCAAGGAGGCCCCCTGCCTTACCTGGTAGGTCAGCTCCTTC